GTTGGCAACACGATATCTTGGCGCACTATTTTCACCATTTTTCTGGGCAATTTCCCAGCTAGCAGCAAACATTTTGCATTCGCTCGGCATCGCGTCTGGAGGGGATGCAGGAGCAAGGCAACATGCGGCCAGCGCTTCAGCAGCTCGGGAAAAATGGGCAAGACGTCGCGTCAATGTGCCGAAACAAAACCGTGGTTCAGCGTGCTGCGCCACCTTCGCATCAAACTCTTGATACTATTTCGTCGTGCCCTAAGGCACGTAGTCAGGGGCTCATTTTCCCATCTGTCGACATTTTGAACTTTTCCACTCCGCCAACGTCATCATGCCAGCTATTGGCGCCCTTGGGGCCGAACAGGGCAAGCGCCCAAGCCACGATCCTCCACACCCCGGCTCCCGAGAGGCCCCGGGCTCGCGGCTTCGATGGCGGAAGGCAAGCTACTGGCGCTCCTCAAGGAGACGGGGTACCAGCAGCCCGTCCGGAGGGACCACATGGCGTGGGCGTTCCACCACCAGCACCCGCGGCACCAGGTGGGCCTCGAGCGACATCCCTGCGGCCGATCTCGACGGCCCCGGGGCGCCGCCGATCTCGCGTGGAGATGTTTTCGGGAACGGAAACGGGGCTTGCGCGGTGAGGAGTCGCGGATCCAGGGCTGCAGGGACTTGATTCCTTGCCTGGGCGCGCTGAACCGCGGGGACACTGAGGCGGCGGGCTCCTCCCGACGGACTGCGCTTCGGCATGTGCGGGCCTGATGTGGGCGGACAAGACAGGGAACTGCGCTGTTCTTGATGCGAAAAGAGTTTTTTGAGTCGCCTTCCCATCAGGCTCCCGAGTGCCTCCTGCGACTTGCTTCGTCCACGGCTTCACCGCCGGCGGCCGTGATGGCCGCAGGAACGAGCCCCCGACATGTGGAGGAGGTCCACAGTTCTGGGCCTAAATCGGTGCTCCGCTTCGTCCCCATCTGGAGGCCATTCCTCCAGCCCTCTTTTTGGCCAACACGACAGTTGATTTTGCGGCAAGGAAACATTCCTTGCTGGAACATTCCTTGCTCTTCCCCGCTGTGCGGAAGCACAATGTGATTCCCCTGTGGCGCCCTAGGTCCTGGACTGGCTGGCGCAGAATGTGGGCCGGGCAAATGTTGTCGACCCCGAGGATCTTGTGCGGTACGAGGAGCTGGAGCTGGTGGATCCTTCGAGCTGCAGGGGCTTCACGCAGGACGAGATCGACAACCTGATGGACATCGACCCGGAGGAGGAGCCGGCGGACGATCGGGGGGGCTGGCTGAGGACGCCACCCAGCGAGGAGGCCCTGCTGAAGGCAAAGGCGCAGAGGCAGGAGGAGTTGGAGCAGCTGCAGAAACGGCAGAGGCAGCTGGCCCGGCTGAAGGCACAGCTGTCTGGGGCCGTGACCGAAAAGTGCCGAAGGTGGGATTGGGGATTGGGTGGGGGGTCAATTCACGATTCATTGTGAATTCATTCACGATCAGCACGAATGACATGGGGAGGGTGGGGCGTGTGAGGATGACTGGAGCACTTGGGATGGTTTCTTGACGCCGGACACTGTGCAGTGTCGGGTTGTCAAGCATTGGCTGGGCGCTGGCCACCACAGTGCGCTGGGTTGATGTTCCGAAGAGCCCATCGAAACCACGTGAATGCTGCAACTTTTTCCTGGAACTGTTGGCATTGAAGTTGTGTTCGTTGGTGGGTTTATGGTACACCAAATGCTTAGAGCCATGAATGCAGAAGAAAGATGACAGCGCCAATGGGATTAAGGGTCCATCACAACTGAGGACATTGCAGTGCACTGTCGTTGCCGCCAGCCCTGTTTGTTTTTCATGTCAACACAGAATTCATTTCCGAAGAACATAGTGTCTGTTGCACGCCAGCAAGGCTCCATATAGTCCACATCACGAATGACATCCTCTAGATAGGACCAACATCGACCACCTGGAACCAAGAAGGAAATGTGAGGAAAGCAGACAGGACCCTCCACAGTGGTGGCTGTGTGGATGGGTCGCCACCCTACCAGGCGGCCACTGATTCATGTCAATAGCTGCACATGGCCTTGTGTAGTCATCTTAGTGGAATGGATGCACAGAAAGGGACAGCATCTATTCTTTGGGATATGGCCGGTTCCTGGCTCCTGTCAGCAATACTAGCTGTCTGGACATGAACAATGATCTGAACCAAATCCATTCTGCCACCTGTTTTTATGCTGCAAAGCTCCTTTGGCCCGACCACAACTGCGATGTCCACCCTAGGCGTTGGTGGGGGCAAATCTTCCAACATTATTTCCTGAAGTTCAGTGCTTGGAGTCCACCAACCAGGACAGCAGCCGCAAACTGTCTAAAAATGCGAACGTCCGCCTCGGCTGCATTCGCTCTTTATGATAAAACAGTGATGTGGTGCCTTTCAGGCGAGTTGGGCATCAACATAGCAATCTACAATTCTTGTGTGTCCATCATACCTGCATATCACAGAAAGGCAACGGTGTGATCCATTCCCTTGCCGACAGCGCTGGCTTTTTCTGTTGGTAAGAAGAACTCAGGAGTGCAATTAAATGCCTGATGACACAAAGGCAGTGCCATAAGCTGGTACAAGCCACCACTCTCTTACCGATTGGAATTCATGACATCGATCGTACGACCAAGGTGAATGACAGCCACTATGCAACAGCAGCTTTGCCAGTGCACTTTGAAGCGGCAGGATGCTGAGGCTGGAAATGGGCCACACATACCACTCAGTGTGCCCACACCAAACCATGGACCGCTTCTATGTACGGTGCTTGTTTGCACTGCTAATCACCAGCACGTTCAATGCATATGGCCTCCTCACATGCCACCTTGTGTGATGTTGTCATGGTGGAGAAACTTGACTGGGGGCCACATGGTTCATTTTACTGTCCTCTTGAAGCGCCACCCACAGCAGCCTTTGAAAACTGGCATGGCAACACAGGAAACATGATCTGCAAGGGGTGTCCTATTCAAGTACTGGCCTATGTGGCTTTGGTGTGAATAAGATAGAGAAATATTGTGCCACAGTTAGGCATACATGCATTGTGAAGGAATACCATTGACAAGGTCATTACGAAAATCTCCCAGTGCAGCATGTTAAACCAAAAACAGGACACTGCAGGCCAAAAGCAGTTTCAACCATCCACCCTTTAAACTCTTCGCTGCTGAGAGATAATTTGTGCACCTTGTGAGCAAACATCAGCGGAGGGGAACAGTTCCTGGTTGGCCTTTGGTGCAAAGGTAAGGCGTTGTTGCAACAAGCGGAATCACTACCGAACCCCATGTGGGCTGTGGGCCATGCAGATGTGAGGGCTACTCGAAGAGTCTGAAAGATGCTGAGCAACGGCTCTCCTTGGCCCAAGATCGGGCATCTGTGGATGACCAGATGATTGACACTGTGCATCAGGGCCTTAAAAGCCGCTTGCAGGAGCTTGGGAATCTGCTTACGAACCGCAGGGAGGAGATGCTCACATCAATGTCCAACCTCAACAATTATTGGGAGAGGGAGACACAGGCATCGGAAGCATTGAATAGGTGTGAGCTGGAATTGGGGTGCTTGATGCTTTTGTTCTCACCGTATTCTGAATCTGTGGCCAGGAATCTGAACATTTTCTGCGAGTCTGTATTGTGCAATCCCAGTCAAGCCGTTCAGGTGGGGGATGGGGGAATAGAGGGGGGGATATGGGGCGCAGTGCCACGTTGGAGAGCTCACGCAGCTTGAAAGGATAGGCATCCTTGTTGCAAAGTCGTGGAATGCAGCCTGCCCGCATGTGTGCCTGGCATTTCCATTGCATTGTGCAAGAACACTTTCCCCCATTGATAATCACAGTAAAACTCAGCACCTCAGTTGTACATCATTGGAAAACTATCGTACATGCTGTTGTATAATCATGTGGTCAATTCTACATATTTATTTATGTTATGCCTCAATAATACTCACAATAATATTCATCCACAGGTTAATCAGAGAGACAGGCACTTCTGGTGCTACACATGAAGGTCAAAACAGTCCAAGCACCAGCTGTGCTGGCTTGGAAGAGCCTTCTCAAACCGATTCCCTCCTTGCTGCATCTGACCCAACCAAGCAGGCATGGTACAACGAGGTGCAGCGCCTGAGAAGAGCGCATTTGCTGGGCTCATCTCAAGCTGTGGCAGCGGCTGCACAAAGTGCAGCAGCAGCAGCACGATTGCAAACACTGGAGAAAATTAAGAGAGCCAAACTCGCAGGTGAGACAAAATGTGCTGGCATGGTGCCCAGGATTGCACAACGGATTGTGACATATCTATCACGTTCATCGCCATTCTCTTGTGTAACCCTTCTGGCAGCGTGTTCAGATTTAGAAATTCCCCTACAACAGCTGTGGTGCTCAGCTCGTGGCAGCAACTTGGGACAAGTCTCCTTAAGCACTGACTGGCCGGACAATGCCCAATCCAAGCTTGCCTTGTAGGTTTTTGTTAAACAGCTATCAAACAATTGAGTCGCATGCAAAAGGCAGGAATTGCACCAACTTGTGGAAGGAGAACGTCACGTAGCCTGTGTTAACCGTACACAGTAAAATAACAGTGTGTTCCCCTCGACCCCTCTTGTTGCTTGTGTTGTGTGCTCTTCATCTTGCAGTGTGAGATTCTCCCTCTTACAGCATGGACGAGAGTCTCACATACATTTTCTTAGGAGGGTACGCCCTCTGTATGACCTGGTTTTCTCCTGAACTGCATGGAATCCTAAACCCACCCCACCCCCACCTCTTTGTGCAACACATTGTGCAAGGCTGTATACATTCGGCACAATGCATTGTACAAGTTTGTGATGCTGATGTTTGTGTTGTATTGTGGGGATTGGTGAACATTTTGCAGTACAGATCGCAGTTGCCATACATAGGTGTCTCCCAGGCGTTGTGCCACACAGTACAGCAACATCTGAAATTGGAGTTTGGGAGACAGGGTGGGGACATATTTAACATCGGAGCAAAGATTCGCTTGGCCACGATTTGACACTGTTGACATGAGCCATGTTTCACAGGCGATCATCGACCTGACCGAAGCCTGGCTGCTCTGCGTTCTGAGCTTGAGGGGCTTAAGGCCACAAAAGCTGCCCTGCTGAACGGGTCAGTGCCTGAGGCCTGCTCCAAGTCGGCGAGCACACACGGCCTGGGTGTCCTCAAGCGCCACTATGAGCAAGTGAATCATGGTTGGGAGGAGCTGTGCGGAAAAAAGCTGCGGCTGATGGAGATGGCCGCAGAGCAGAAGTCGAGGCACGCCGTAGTGAATGTGAGAGACAACTCCAAGCACGTTGGATAGACCCTTTGAGGCACAAGTTGTCTTCGCCGAACTTATGCAGTCAATGGTTGCAATTTTGAGCGAATTCGCCGTCCAGCTTGCGCGTCGTGTCCATAGAGGAGTAAGCGGGTGGCTCATTTGGCTTTGCCAGCCCTCGACAGCAACACTTGCAGCGCACTGGCCTGGCCCTCAGCCAATTCCTGGAATGTTTTTAACGCAATCTCAGGCGTTTCTTAATTTTCAGAGCGCTCGCGGTTGCCAGCCCAGAAGTTTTCTGTCGCCATTCTTTACCGCCCTTCCTCCGCCCGTTCGCGCGTCCATATTCGGATGCACCGCCCTGGCGCGGGGGGGTCAGTGCCGCGCCTTTCGGCCCCCTTTCCTGACGTTCCCTGAGGCCCGCCTCGTTGGCGCCAGCTCCGTCGCCCTTGCCCCCCACCCCTCTGTTGCCTCACCCAGCACGTGGCGTCCGCAGGACATCGCCGAGGTCGAGCGCCGGCGGCTGCAGGACACCGCGGCGGGCATCGAGCGCATGGTCCGCCTGCTGGAGGGCAGCTTTAAAGCGGCGGCGGCCAGGAAGCAGCGGTACGGCCAGGTGGCGGTCGAGGACGCCAGACACATCCCCGCAGACGACGCCTACCTGACGCGCCTGTCGTGCGCCCTGCGCTACTCGCGCCAGGCCATCAGGACGCACCCCGACGGCCCCAAGGAACGGTGCCGGCCGCCCAAGCGGCCGCGCGACAGCCCCCCGCCCGCTGGCGGGGACCACTGGGCCCTGGAGCCCAGCCCGCTGTCCAAGATCGCCATCCTGCAGGAGAGGAGCACGAATCCCGCGCCCCTTGGAGCGGCGGACACGCACAAGGGCAGAGAGGCAGACACGCTCAAGGGGAGAGAGGTGGACACACAGATCGTGCAGGCGGTGAAGACGCCGGCGACTGTGCAGAGTGGGAGAGAGTGCACTCCACTGTCGATGTCCGCCACGCCGAGGGGGGGCGGCGTGGTGTCGATCGAGCACGCGTGCCGGTGGCTGTCCCAGTTGTTCCAGGAGCAAGGCAGGAGGAGTGGGGAGCTGACGCGGCTGTACTCCAGGGAGCTGCCGGAGCAGATGGCGGCTCTTGGGGGCGCCGCGCGGCGTGCGCACAGGCTGGTGTTCTTGTCTCTGGAGGCGGGGGAGGCGATGATGGTGGACCCCGCCGTGCTGGAGGGGTCGCGGTCGTTGCAGAGGCTGGGGCACGAGCTGATGGCGCACGCGGGGGAGTTCCGGGAGGAGGTGCGGGCGTACAAGAAGTTCCTGCAGCAGAACAAGATGGCGCGGAAGGACAGGCAGGCGCCGCTCATCTTCTTCCTGCAGCCGGAGGCCATGGGCCAGAAGCTGCGGTTCTACCAGGCGAAGCTGAGGGGGGCTGGGTGATCGGACACGGGGGCGGAGGCGAGGCGGGACTGTAACTGCAAAAGACTTTGGGGAGCGTTTTGGGCATTCCGAAATTCCAAATTCGTGTGGCAGGAATGCGACAGGAGGGAAATGAAGGAAGTGACGGTAGTGCCAGGTGTGGGCTTGGTTGTGCATGGCGCAGCTCAGAGCCAATACACAGTTGAGAACTTCCATTGGTTCTGGTTGCACGCGCACCAATAGGAGCAACCGGCCGGGAGCCTAGCGGTTGCCGTCTTCCAGACCATCGTGAAATTATGTTGCATTGGCCATAGGATTGGCCCTCGTGAATACTGCAAAATGAAACTGTGCGCAACTGCCCCCTTTGGATCGCACCAACTTCTGTTTGTGTTTTTTATTGTTGTGGCCACCAACCACGTCCCCTCCCAAACACTCCCTAGAATCGACACCTATGTATATATACACGCTCCTATATTCTACTTCCGTGTTGTGTTTTGAAGCAAGGATCTAAAGCAATTTGTCCCCAGGTTCTACAGACGATGTGTAGTCATCGCGACACCACTTTCCATAACCGTCTTCATCATTCCCCTCCCACAACTTACACAGCTTCCAAGACACCCTCTCACTCCTACTGCTGCATTTTTTTTGACTCATCTCCCACCCCACGCGTGGGTTTTGCGGCCTCACTTAGCCGCCCCTCGAGTTTTCATCGCACGCTGTATACGCCAGCGCTCGACTGGGGACAGTGGGAGAGCCATCACATCACTAATGCGAGCCGTCAACAATCTTCACGATACATTCACAATTGCAAAAGTTGATTTTCAAGGTGTGACTTTTTGCTGAAATAAATGCACGCCTTTTAGCTGACTGGCTTGGGGGTTCAGGCGCACATACAACCACAGACCTCACGATTTTCAGTCAAAAGGCCACGAAACTGCTTGGATGAATGGGGCGGATGGGCCGGGGACACCGCACCTGAAGCATGGTACCCTCGGGATACCTTCAAAAGTGACGTGTCCTCAGTCCCTGCTTCCCGCCACCCTGCCTCTGCTACCTGCCAAATCCGCACTGTCAAAGTGCCACGGGCAGCGGGGGCGCCCTTGAGCAGACGCGCCTCGGTGCGTGGCGCCGCTGCGGCCCGGCGCCCAAATGGCCGCGGCGTCCCGCTGCGGAAGGGGCCTTCAGCCGCCCTTCCTGCTCCTGCTGTCCTGTTTGGGCGCCCTCTGGGCGGAGGGCGCGGAGGGGAGGCCGGTTGCCGTCGTCCTGCCCGTGGTGTCCACGTCCAGACTGAGGGTAAGGGCACTGGCGGCCGGCGCATGCGATCCGGTGCATTGCGCAGCGTCGAAGCGGCTGACGGCTGTCGGCAGTGTCGATGGTTGTGGACAACGATCCGATCGGGTGGTGGGAGACTCTGGGCACGTGCAGCACGATGAAGGAATGGTGGGAGTGATGAGGGGATGGTGGTCGTGATGAAGGGATCCGTTGTGTCTGATGCTGCGTCCAGCGGGTGCAAGGTAGCGGAATTGGGGGCGTTTGTGACCGTTCGGAGCTTGAGAAGGCGGTAGATAGGCTGTAGGAGCACTGGAAGAGCAGCCCGGGATGCAGACGTTGTAGGTGCTTCGATCAGTCCATGAAGCGAGCATGAACGCCAACGAACGCACCGCTTAGCCACGTGCTGTGGCGATGCTGTGCGTTCGCTCAACGAATGTTCGAATTTGCTGATTTGTGGGCGCTTTTGGGTCCCGATTTGAGGTTAGTGGGAAAGGAATTAGCACGGGGAATCAACGAGGAATTGGCCGTCCTAGTCGCGAGGCAGATATGTAGGCATCTGATGTGGGGGATCTTGGATCCTGCCGCTTTGCTAGCACATTTGATGGTTGAAGATTCGATAGTTGGGAAGACAAGACAAACAGGCAGCATAGAATGCAAGCCCTTCCCAAATCTGCTTGCGCTTCACCTCATCCACCAGCTTGCTGTGTGTGGTAAAGAGTTAGGCGCCAGTGCCATGTTTGCCTTGAGATGGGTGTTATGCTGAACTTCCAATAACTTTGTCTTGTTGGCAAGCAGCCAGCCTTGCTGCAAGATACAGAATCTCTGCCACTTGTTGTCTTCAGTCTTTACATGATACTTCCATGTTACCAATCCGAATGCGTGGCACATGCAATGAGCCATATGGAACGAACATGGTAGGCACATGCATTCCCCCACATCGCCATTGGATTGGGTGGCTTGGGAACGTCAAATCTGTCTTTGAAAAATTTTTATTCAAATGGTGGAATTATTCTCACTTCCAGGTGGACCAGGAAGGCCTCAAGATCCTCCAGAACATTGAAGGACCAGTGGCCCCTGTGGTGGTCATCGGCCCCTACAGATCTGGAAAGTCATTCCTACTCAACCAGCTGCTCAACGTCTCCTGCGACTCAGGCTTCGGCGTTGGCCACACTCGCAACACCCAAACAAAGGGAATATGGGTTTGGAGTTCCCCTGTGAAGGTGCCCACAAGGGACGCCATCCCGCTGTCAGTCGTCTACATGGATACAGAAGGGTTTGAGAGTGCCGGCAAGTCTGATTCATATGATGACCGTATCTTTGCCCTGAGTGCAATCATGAGCTCCGTACTGATTTACAACTTGCCTGAAACTGTGCGAGAATCGGACGTTGAAAAGCTGTCTTTTGCCATTGAGCTGGCCAGTGGACTGTACAACACACAAGGCAGTGCCAGCAACCATCTGCTTGTTGAGCCAGGCAGCATGATCTGGCTCATCCAGAGAGACTTTTTGACGGGTAAGACAGTCCAGCAGATGGTCGATGAGTCACTGGCACAAGTGGACAACCCTTACCATGACAAGGACATCGATCAGATCAACCGCATCCGGAAATCCCTTTCCCTTGTAGCTCGCAACAGCACTGCCTTTGGCCTGACGCAACCCCACTTGAATCGGACTGGTTTGTGCAGCATGGGGGATGCCATGTTGGATGAGGGGTATGTGAGGCAAAAGGCACAGCTTTTGCAGCTGGTCAGGGACCTGGCAACTCCGAAGATCATGCAAGGGAGCATCATGACTGGGAAGCGACTTGCAGAGTTGATCGAGAGGGTCGTGGAAGCTCTCAACGAGCGAGACATACCATCAGTGACGTCGATCGTGGACAGCTTCAACGCTGAATTGGTGCACAAGTGCATTCAGATGTATGTGGCGAACTGGGCTGATTTCGACCTCCCTAAGGATGAAGACATCCTCGGGGACATCCATGCAACTTTCCTACAGTCAGCGATGGAGTACTACGATTCTCACAGGTTTGGCTCGTCTGACGAGTTGAGGGAGGGGGGGAATGTTCTCCGCGATGGGCTTGCCAAGCAGTTGGAGAGGGAATACGACACAAAGAGGACTGCCAACTCGCTCAAGTCTTTGGAGATCTGTGAGTCGCTGGAGCGGGAGTGCGAGCAGACGCTGGAACGCCTGCAGGCCATGAACCTTCCCTCCAAGAAGAAGTTTGTTGGTGAATTCAGCAGATGTGAAGAGCTGACTTTTGATGCTGGGTGCAAGGGGCCAGCCCTGGCGAAGCAGAAGGCGAGGCTGCAAGCCGCGTGGAAGAGGGAGCTCGGGCGCTTCGAAAAGGACTACAACGATCGGCTGTATCTAGGAATGGTCATCGTGTCTTTGGCAGGAATTGTTGCTTTCAGGTTCATTTTCAAAGTGCAGGCCATGGAGGGTGTGTGCTGGGTTCTGTTTGTGTTTCTGGAAGGCTATCCTCGGCTAATAGAATCCCAGGCGGAAATGTACTCCAGCGGCTGGTGGACTGCTGCAGTGAGGGTATGGGAGTTTCTGGTGTATAATCTGGTCACCAAATCGGGCTGTCTCATGCTCGCCTGCTTCGGGTTGTTTTTCTTGTGGCGACTTGGGCTCCGAATACGGAGAAGAAAAGGAGCCCCTAAGCGGGACAGCGGGCGTGATTTGGACGTGTAAGAGACAAGAGGGGTTGTGGTAATATCGAGGCACATGTCTTGATACGCTAGCTCTTTTTTTTCTGTTATCAACTGTTTACTAAGTGTCAGAAAATTGCAACCGGTTAAATGCAGACGCCCCTGGCGAAATGCGGAGCAGCACAGTCCTGCAGTGCATTTGATGAGTGGCATGTTTGCACGCGTTGCTAGGCGCGGTTGGATTACATGCACTGCTACGGTATCCGTGCGCCTCATTTCCAGCCAACCTTGGAAGAATCAAGATCATATGCAGCGGTCCCAAACAGCAAAGCAAATCAAGGTGATGGCTGCGCAGGGTCACACAGATGTGCCGAGCTTCGCGCTTGCGAGTTTCTGCCTCACAAAACTGAGCGCTTGTGGATTTGTGCGTCCGGCAGCTGGCGTTTGTGCCAACACGTCCAATTCGCCAGCGACGACTCCTTGGTGCATCCTTTTGAAGTACGACGGCATCGTTTCGCACTGGACAACTCGACCAGTGTCCTTTGCGCTGACGCCACCGGGTTGCTCCAATTTCGGGGACTCTCAACCGGCCTATCCGCCAGAAAGATTCTGGCATCGTGTTCTTGTTGGCACCAAAAGCATCTCTCACGGAGACTCTCAGGACGCCAAAACACAACCTTTTGACATGCGTGCGGCCAAGGTGCAGTTTGCCGAGAGAAAGCCGACGCGCAAGATATCGGACAACCATGCGACTGTCGATTTGCAACCGCAGTCGATGCTCCAAGAGGACGTGGAAGAGCAGAAGGTTGCGATGTACAATTCTAAAGCATGGGGTGCTCAAGTATATGCGTTGAAGAGTGCCATGACTGGACCATGAGTTCAGTACTGCCGCTGGAGAGTGGCCTATGCCATACAGGGCAAACCACAGTATGGACGCCGAGTCACATGTGACGGCGCTTTCAAATTGCAGCAGACAAGCAATGATTAGGCAATCAGGACCATCGGCTATATAGTGCGGCAATACAGCCTCAGCAAGTAGCGGCAACGATCTGAGACGTTCTCTTCGCTGCTCGCATCGGTCCTCATCCGCGCCTGATGCAGCGGCATTCAAAGTTATGAACTGTACAGGGATCCTCGGCTGCACGACGAAACACCATCTTCCTTCGCCCAGGAGGTGTCTTGATGTAGCAACACGCAACGTGTACGTTGCGATCGCTGACCTGCATTTCCCTTTATCCGTTTCCCTTGTCTGTCCGGCGCGTCATGCGTAGGCACCTATGCCTACTGGTGATGAAGTGGGAAACATGGCTCGTCAGTTTGAAGTAGACACCCTCAACACCGACCAGCCATCCAGCCATATACCATCGCCAAAAGTCCATATTGCTGTGGTTGGCCATGCCAGACCCGCAGAAGACAAAGCCACGTCACAGTGTGCGTCTGGCTCTGCGCCGTCATCCAATCTCTTCAGATTCCATTGCATGGGGACGTGTCAACTTGGGGATGGGTTTCGGGGCCGCAGGCCCATTGGGAAACCTCCTGGCTTGGGACCGAGGCGAGAACACTCATGGCGCTGCGCACCAAGTCATCTGATTCACAACAACAGCCACATGGCGCTTGTCCTGGTCACCAATCACACCCATCCCCGCATCAATTACCTTAACGCTCGGCATACCAAGTAACACACTTCCAGACCGCAGGGCCACAAATATATTACAAAGGGCAAAAGCACCAGCCCCCCGCTCGCCTACCCCCCCACTCCCCAACCCTCCCAGACAACCATCCATCTGAGGCGTTGCCACAACCACCTGTTTCCGGGTCTGGCACCGTGCCCCATGCTGTCGTGGGCAAGTTTGGAGCAACAGAATAGCATGAAGCACATTACCAATCGAGCGCTGTCTGTGGCAACACTCGTGCTGTGAAGCAGGCTCACACAGTGTCGTCGTCAAACGCCCACCGCGTCAGCTTCGGAGACCTTTCTCCAACGCGACGACAGTAAGCCTGATCTCCAACGGGGCGTGTCTGCAAGAGCCATGTCCACATGTCAGCTTTAACCCCATCGCATTGAGCCAGGCTGCGTTGAAGCGCCTGCAGCAAGGCGCAGTTGCTCTCACCCATTAACATTCAAATATGGCACAGTCAAAACTGTGCTTGATGATGTGCAGTATGAGTGTCAGTGATTAGTCAGCAGCCACAGTTTTAGATGCCAAACCACAGCAACACCACCCCAACACCACAGCAACATCACCCCACGTCAATCAGTTCATGCAAAGGATGCTGTAATCAACAATGGATATCAAAGAATGGGCGTGCAGCACAAATAGCTCCACTACAATTGTGCTGTGGCCCATAAGCATATTGCGAGTTTCACGCTGATTGTATGTGATAAACAATATGACAATCCACATCGCTCTCACCAACTGGTCACTGTTCGGCAGAAATTAGCCATCATCCGCGTTCGCTTTTAGCTGCCTAGGTACCAAAATTGTTGTTGAGTGTGACTTATTGGCCCACATTCTGGAGCACTGTCCCAGTACAAGGTTTGCTGCACATGCAGTCCTGCTTCTGTGTTATGCTGTGTGCGTGTGTGCGTGCGTACGTGCGTGCGTGTTTGTGGCATTGAGCACGACATGTGCCATGCATGATGTCGCCACAATGGGGTCCCTCACTCGTGCACGCAAGTATATCAATCCATCCACATCTCCCTCGCATCAGCCCAAAGCCATTTGTTCACATGCACTTCTATGCATGTGAAATGGGACAACAATGATGGGACATCAACTTGAAAAGGGACATCAGTGATGGGACATCAATGATGGGACATCAACTTGCAAAGGGACATCACTGAAATCTCAGAGCTACTGTGGCAGCACAGCAAGTCTTCCACACCAATATTCTGGGACATGCAGTTACCAAATCGGTGCTCCCTGCCATTCAGGCTTCCAGGGCAGGACCCAGCGCAGGCCATTTCACTGGAAGGATGCACTCTTGCCTATTCCTTGTGTCTTAGTACTGGTATTGGGATCCAAATATCGTCATGCAACCTCGTCATTTCACCCACATCCAAACTTGACTATGGTTATTCAGTTCATTCCCCCATTTCATACCTTGTCTGTGTTCGATGCCAGCATGGACCTCAGAGACAGGCAGATTTTGTTCACAGTCAGAGCAGGCGACCACCCTCCATTCACCCCATCATACAAGATGTCCAGACATATGTGTCCATTCGTGTAGATGTGGGGATGAATGGGGCTCTCTGGAAGGAAGATAACCTTGCAATGCAAGACAAGCATCTGTTCAACATATCGCCCTTGCACCCCAGCCCGTCATACTATCCCATCAAGACAATTTCCACACCAGCACATTAACTGTTGCAAAACAGGCCAATGGAGAAAGGTTGAAGGGGGCACGGGGCTTGGAATGCAAAAGCTATGGAACCATCGTGAGTAGTGCATGCTGCCTGCTATACGGGCAGCTCTTTGACCTGCTCATCATCGTGCAGAATTGCCCCCACTGTTCCTTCAATTTCCAGAGATTCCCATGCCTTGTGGCAGTGCGAGTCTCAATGTCACGGTGTGTCAATGGAAGCATGTTTGGTTGGCTGCCCACCGGGACAAGGCTGTATACATCATTGGCAACGATGGTGGGGAATAATGAACATCAGGACAGATCATCAGACAATCGGACTGCCCACAAACACTGCATACTGTGGGGCACACAACTTTTGCTCTGATCGTAAATGCAGCTTCATACGCACCACTGTGTTGAAGGGCATTTACACATCCCAATAGTTTGTTCCCAGAAGAGTGCATCATTGACTCACACAGCCTGTCTGGACCACAGCACATACAGCTGCTGACAGCTTACTAAAAGTTGCACATCGAACCCCACATCATCACTGGTGTAAAGGGAATGCCCAACTGTCCCACAATGTTTTCCCGGTGGGGCAAATCGCATGAAGGGAGTTTCCAAGTGCTGCGATTGGGCCTTTGGGCTATGGTCCAAATTCAGCTGTCAAATTTGTGGCAAACCATGCCCAACGAATTTCTTGTCCAGAAGATAGTGGCCATTGTAGGACATTTTCGTTTCCAGCAATTGACACTCGTCACGCCACTGCCCCTACCTCTGGCGCTTCAAGAGGATAACGGTCTGGGAACCGGACCTGCAGCCTGGAAATGAGAGCAACAAGAGGTCAGAACTGCCAGGCGGAACACAAGCATATGGCCCAGATAGATGCCGGAATTGAGCCCAGGATGGCCAATATGGCAAGGGGTGAACTGTGCTCAGAATATTTCATGGCAATTGGGAAGCATTACGGGTTGCAATGTGAGGGGCTGGCTGTACCACATGTTCCTGCTGAATAAAGCTACAAAAAAGGGGTGCCAGAGCACAAGACCAAGGGTGCCAATCTCACAGTCGCCAACAAGGGCCCAGAAGCGGCCAACAAGCAAGCTGCCATTCCTTGTCCTGGTCTAAACAATTCACAGCCTGCAGCATTGATTGTAGCAGGGAAAGGAAGTATTCTATGCCCTTGTTGCACCTTGAATCATCGAGCTGGTGTGGGTGTGCGTGCCTTAGCTTCCAGTGCCAACTGCTGAAAATTTTTCCTGCAACACCCCCGAGCCTGTGTGTTGTTCTTGTACTGCACAACATTGCACGATTTCAAGTACGAAGCACACAGGAAGCTGATCTCCCATGTGTGCTGGCACACCTCTTCCCTGGTTAATGTTGTGAAGGTTACGTAAGAACAGGCAAGGGGGCCGGAGCACACATTCAGCACACAATAAGTATCATGTCAGTAGCAAAGTTGAGTGTAAATGACCAGGGCAGTCCACATCACACAGTGTTGCTCAGGTACCGCAATGCTATGTTCCACAACAAATTCCACAATAATGTGCTGATGATGTCCATGTTCACCTGGTAGCACAGAGCGGCATCTACTGTTGTGCCACCGCTTGGTCATGCACAGGCAAGGGACACAGCAAATTTTGATGCATCACCTGAAAACTTCTCCTTCGTATAACCTTGCCAGGCCCCCCTCAGGGCCTTGCATAATCACCACCCAGTTCGTAAGGGGCTCGTAAGACTCGAGTGCACACCCTTCAGGCGCGGCCTTCAACCAATCCCGGAGCTCCCCCTATCAGAAAGAAGGGCAAACGGTCACCGAAACAGCCTCGAGTGTAGTGCCAAGGGCCACAGCGCAGAGTGCGAAGGCAGCACTGGTGATCACCTGTATTCGCCGCATAGCGACTGTCGTTGGGTTGCCATACATTTTCGACGCTTATTGCTGCGTGTACAGCTGCAGAAAAGGGCCCACACACGACAGCAGCGTCAGTTCTGCATCAGCTGCAAGCTTGCAAGTTTGCCAACGCACAATTGCCCCTCACCTCGCAAAGATGTGCATTTTTGAGATTGTTTCGGAGCAGCATCGAACTGAAAGCGTATGCCGCAAGACAGACACCAACAATTTGCGTGAAATGCACCAACAATCCGCGTTGCAGCCCAAGGCGTCTGTTCTGGACGCATCTCGGGCGCATCTGTAAGGAACGGTGCGCACAAGCACAGCGGATGCCACGTCGGCCAGAAGGCATCCTCGCCACGGCGCAGAGAGCCAAGTACGTCCAATACGGACACGGCACTCGCCGGAGTCCTCACACAGGTCTCAGCTGAGACTCAGCGTGGCGTAAGCGACATGACATGCGATGCGGAACGCGTGTTGACCACATGCCACCGGGGCTTCAGAGTGCATAAAAACTGGCTCAGGTTATTGGGAACACAAAAAACAAGGCGGGCACATTTCTCATGAGGTGTCTTATTCCCTGGGGCAGCATCTACACTGGGCAACTCGATTCCGCTCCAATACGGACACCTCGCAACCTGACGCGATTGGGGAAGGCTGCCCCGCATCGCGTCTTGGCCCCACCTGAAACTGAGAACGGGGGTCTGTTTTCAGGCCCTGGCACGCGGTTGCGGCTGTGCGAGCCCGTGCGCACTGCTGTTAGGGCTGCTGGTTGAAGGCAGGGGTGCGCCTGAGTCGGACGGAGGAACGCCTACTTGGAAGCGTGTGCACCTTCGAGACGACTTGGCATGCATTGTGGCAGATAATTGAAAAACATTTTCGGCAGCATTGGAGTCAATTCAATTCAACTTTAACTGCATCAACTGCAGTTTAAAGCAAAGCGAGGCGCCAACACCATGTTGAGAGGAGAGAATTCCATTTGTTGCCTTTCACTTGGTGAAAGTGCTTGTGTTGGCGTTTGACGTGCAGACGCGGTTGCTGGGTGTGGCCAATTTGTGACCGCAACTCCGTGTCCGTTCCGTCCCTGTACTCGCACCCAAGCGCAGAGAAGGTGCAGCCAAAGATGCCAATCCCCTTTCACAGAATAGAGCATTGCTTAAAGTTCGTATGCACCACACACCATCCACCGAAGTATGAAATCATCTTTCTGTGCAGTCCCAAGCTGGCTGGGTCAATGTGATGCAGTGTGCCGCGGGATTGCTGATCGTTGATGGAAACTTGCCACTCTGCATGCTGAAACTTCGTGGCAGAGGGCGGCCATGTTCAGCAGCTAATGTGATGGTTGCTGCATTGCACAAAGACATTTTTCTAGGTTGAGGTTGCCCTGGAATCCAGGAGGTGCATCGCATGTCGCCACACCGCGACTTGCGGCTAAACGCTAGCACGAGGCAGCTGAGCTTGAACTGCGAAAGTGCAAGGTATCGAGAAGTGCGCCAGCCGCGAGGGCGCTTTGTGACAGCGTGTGGCTGCGGCAGTCCAATAGGAATGTGCATGCATATACGCTTGAAGTTGGGCGTCCATATCCTCACCCATTGTGACCCAGGAACAAGCCTGCCTGGGCGTGCTCCGCCCAGAGATAAATGTACAGAAACGACTTGGAGCACTCACAATGAAATACTGCACAGAGAGGGACGCCACGAGCACAGCAAGGTCCCTTTCGTTCAACTCAAACTCTAGTTTACATATCGCGCTCGTCAAAAGATTATGCAGAGCCACACCCCTCTGCCCCTTGACCCTCCCTCCGCCCTCCATATTCAGAAATAAAACAGCCTGTTGTACAGCTGCACCGACGATACAGCCAGGAGCACGTTGCTGATGAGGATCGTCATCACGAACCCAAAGTACTGGTGAGACACCACGAGCACTTTGACCTTCCTCGCCAGGTGCTCCAGGATGTCCATGTTGTACTTCCTCATATACAGGAGGATCAGGTACCCCGAGACGAAGAAGGTGCCCATCGAACAGAACGCCACTATCATGGATGCCTTGAATTGCCGCTTGGTGAAGCACTTGAACGCGTCGTCGATCAGGACGCCGCGGAAGTCGATCTGCACATTCTTTTCGGAGTATGGATAGAAGTCCTGGTTCTGGCCAAAGCGCAGAGCGGGAATCACCACCAGGAAGAAAATGAAGGAGCTGAGTTGGGACAGCAGCTTCCAGCCCAGGAACCTCATCTGCCTCCTGCGGTAGCCAGGGCGCTGGTTGGAGTGCCCCCGGTCGTCTTGGTCCACGTCCTCCAAGATGGGCTCGCTCTTCTTCTTTGTGAAACCCAGCACGCCCTTCACCCACACTCGGAACTTGAACCAGACATCGAACTGAAAGCCCAGGTAGGCCAGGTCTTCTCCCACCCGGACCAGCAATATGACGGCAAAGGTGGGGCCAAGCCGGGTGACTGTGGGGTACGCCAGCACAATGAACAGGTCCACCAGGTTTTCCAGCCACAGGCCTGACAGGACCATCGCCACCTCTATGGGGTACACATCCGTCATGGCAAGCAAGATCTTCTTGAAGATGAACGTGACGATGGCCAGGACGAATGTCAGCACGCCCTGACCAGCACTCTCAGTGTTGGCATTGGCGATGATGTACGCCAGCATCAGCAGCCAGAAGATCATGAAAACCATCATCAGGCGCACGAAAGACCAGTAGATCTTCATGAAGCGCTCTCGGTTGGTGTCGAACATTGTATGAGGCGTGAAGCGCAGGCCCAGGAGGGTCACGGCGATGGACAGCGCAAGTGCCACCAGGCCCAGGCCACTGAACGACTCGCTGATCATCACTGACGCTCCCGCGGTGCCCACCTGCACGATGTAGCCCAATGCAAGGATGTGCATGTAGGAGCGAGCGGGCCGCCAGGGGCGGGCCTCATCCAGGCAACCGAGGAACATGTTGATGAGTGTGAAGGAGAAGAACACGTAGGTACCGGGATTCACTGCAAACGCCCAGGCAGCCTTGTCAACGAATCCCCCTTCCACACACCTCCTGATCACTGCTGTGTCACAGCCTGTGTCGTAGTCGATGTCGGAAGAGCTGCTGGGCTCCTCCTGGATGAATGGCTCCACCCTGCATTCGATGTTGCCGATGCTGATGGGTATGGCACCAAACCACAAGAGGCCGAAGACGGCTGGCGTCAGGTTGGCGATCACAGCTAGCCAAAGAATGTTCACCCACTGGAATGGCGTCCTGGCATGTGCCAGTTTTGAGACAAGCGCCATGGGTTGAATCAGAAACTTGTTGAAGGAGGTGTCTAGGTATTCCCCAGCAAAATGCACATAGCCAGACCGGGACCTCCAGCTTGGCCGACACAGCTCTTTTCCCGTCGCCCCTCCTATGCTCACTGTCAAATCATCTTTTTTCCCTCTATCAAATCCCTTTGCAACACCATCCACTTCCCCACAAAACGGGCTGTCAGCCTGCCCTTCGAATCTCCGAACAAAACAGCTATATTCGTCGCCAGCCCCATTTTCCTGCGAATCTAGGCTCTGCTCCGAATCAGCTCGTCTGCAGATATCCTTGGGCTGCGCAGGTGCTGTCTGCTCGCACTCGATGTCGATCCCAGCACTACTCCCCTCCTCCAAAAGGGAGACCTCCTGCCAGGCAACCTCCTCATGAGGCCCACAGCTTGCCACAAGTCCATCCTGCTCCGATCCCGCGCCTGCGGGACCACCAGTCGCGCTCAACTCCACTCCTCCGCTCCCCTCCACTCCTCCACTCCTCTCAACACTCGCCTCCGCAGCAAATTCCCCCCCACGAAGGTTGCGCAGACCCGCCACCACTGGCACGCACATCCCCACCGCGTCGCCGATTGCATCGGAGCCGTCCCAGGACAAAGACTGCAGGACCGGGTGCGACTGCTGCCGGAGTCTTGTAGGCCAGCCACCGGCTTCGCCAGCACTCCTTGCAGCAGCTACCAAGTGGGCAGCGGGAGGCGCGCTTTGCGGCCTCCGCTGGCCGGCGTCACTATCACATCCGGGGCAATCGCGTCCCGGTCCCGTCCCCCTGGCCATCTCCTCGCGGCCGCCGATCGCTCGGCGCTGCTGCTCCCGCGGGAACGCTGAGCCCGTGTCGGTCATCGCGCCACGCGGCCCTCCGGCCCCGCAACATCAACCCGCGATCCAGGGGCGGCGCTCAGCGGGCTTCTGGTGTCAGCGGCGACCGTTGGAATGACGCGAACTGAATGCGAGCCCTGCACAAGGCGCAGCAAATACAGCTTCACTCCTGTGACATGTGCGCCCTTCGCCGCAACTGCCGCGCCGCGCACCCCCGCTTCCCGCCATGCCTCATATTCCCCGCCCCACAAGCAACAGCAGGGGACATCCCCAGCCTCCAGTGCCCATCATGGGCTGCGCGTGGGAGGATTCAACCATGAACAGCCCCCAGACAACGAGTCCCGCCATCCCATTGCACCCCTCCACCCCCCATTGGGACGGTTTTCACGGATCAAACAACACATCCCAGCGTCGCGGTCCGTCGCCAGAAGGCACACAGCCTCTTCCCAGCACCGGTAAAGCCGCGCAGTTCAACCGCAATCATCAACGGGCGTCCGCAGCGCTGGTAACCGAGCTCGTGCTGCAGCGCATACCGGTCGATGGCGGCGACCCTCCCCCCCCCCCCGCTCTGACAACTCCAGCACTAATGGCGTCGCACAGGTAGCTCCAGGGGATGGCCGCGATTCCAGAGCACCGCGGCGCCGAGGTCTGGCGAGGCGCCCAAGGCGTCTCGCGCTGGCTGCTGGCGGAAGCGGGCTCGGTTCCTGAACTGACAATTGACCTTCCCTGGCTCGTGCAGCGGGTACAAACCCGTATATAAGGGCAGTGTAAGGAGCGGCCGACCGCGGCCACATCAGTGCGCCTGCGCTGACGTGCGGCGACGCGGGCGGGGCAGAGGATACAGTCAGCGCCTTTAAAGAGGCCTGAGTGCCCCCACGCCCTGGGGAGGCACGCTTGTCGCGGCACGCGCGAACCCAAGGGTTGGGTCGTGGTTGGGCACACTCCCCAGGGCGATGCATCCCCACGCTTGAGGCTTCAAAAGCGCTCTTATTGGGCCGCCACCCCATCTGCAAAACACCGCTGCAGAGCGCTGCGAGGCGCACCGCCGCCGAGGGACGCGCGGGCCATTGCATTGCACCGCGCGGTGGACGGCGCAAGGCGAGCACTGATCACCTGAGCATCGGATCTCATAGACAGGGCGGGGTTCCATAGAGGCGTCTCTTGCCAAGGAGGACAGTGAAGATCTCAAGTGCAGGAACAAATCCCGGCTGCTCCACTCCGGCATGATCGTCAGCGCATGTTCGTGCTGATGCCTGCCCACAAAAGAGAAGATCTTCTGGTTTGAAGCGCGTACGAGACACTCTCTGTATGCGCAATGGATTTCCTTGGTGTTCTGCCCTGATACACGAAGGCACTGGTCCTGGAGGTATGCAGTGCAAGTTCCTGGCAAAACTGTTGTCTTGCAGCATGAATCGCATCTGGCTGTCTACTTGCCTCAACCAGCAGGATCAGCATCTGGGATGTGTGATGTCAGCCGCAACTGCACAATGCTTGGTATATGCCTGATGGCTGAAAATCAGGGTCACCGAGCGTGATATGCTGCGTGTTGTTGGGATATCTCAGAGCTGGGTGTCGTTGCTGCGTTGTCTCGTTACGCAGCACACTTTCAACAATCTGCAGTCACTGGCAAAAGCACCATGTTTGTGATGGCTATTGGGGTGCTATTTTGGCACTAATTGACGCCATCAGAGCGTTTGCGACACCTCAGAATGGCTGTGATGGCATCAATGAGTGTCAAATTAGCGCCATCGCAGTTAACATCACAACAAAGTCCTTTTCGACTGGTGAGGGGCGGCCCCCCAACGAACTGGTGCCCCAGGAGCATCACGGAGCCAACGCACCCCGTGGAGGGCGCAGTGTCGCCAACTTGGGGGCCATGGTGGGCCGGTCTCACCAGGAGGCAATTCGGACGAGATCCGAAACTCAACTCTCGGACCCCATGCCACTGCCCAAGTTGTCCCGGTCATCCCGGGGGGTGTTGCCCCAAGGAGTACAGGCCTGATCCCCTGTGCACACGTCAACCGCAGCTATGAGGACGTTGGCGTAATGTCGTACGCCCCGCTGGCGAAAGCAGACCAGCCTGCGGTTAGCATATTGGGGAGAGACGCTCCGGCAGACACCGTACATCGGCAAGGCGTAGGGGGGTCACCTGGGGTCTGGGGAGACGGTTGCGCGGCACATCTGACAAGACGCATATAGTCAGGGGCTCAGTTCGGCCTGGGACAGCAGGCTGGCTGTGTGCCTGTCGGCGACTTGCTAAAAGGGTCGTCAGACGGGAATCCCGGCCGAAATCTGCAAAGGCTGCAACAGTGAAACAAGCTGTTTGTGCATGGTCGCAGCACACGCGATAAGCTGACACGCGCGGAAGGGCGCGCCAAGAACGGGCCCAACTTCATTCTACTCCACGACACAATGTTTAATACGGGTGCAGGGCTCGTCTTGCACAAAAAAGTTGCGTATATGCACCCAGCCGGTTCGGTTGCCACAGGCAAACAACTAGCAGACCAGCAACGCTGCATGCTTTGAAGCAGTTGCCACAAACCAACTCCAGCACAGGTCCTGAAACCAAAAAAAATTCACAAACAGGCCCCAAGCTAGGACCCGATAGCAAAAACAACTCGAGGACCTGGAAACGGTCCATGCTCCAAACTGGCCTCTGTTCATGATGGCCACGCAGCTGAACCTAACCCAACCCAACGCAAACCTCTCTTCGATCAACTCCACTGCACAACATTCCTGCAATGCACATCCGTCCTAAGCACGCCCCTCCCTCACTCAAGGAAGTGGTCCCTTCCCCCCCAATATGCTCTCCATGGTGGCCATGCTCCCCAATTCTTATGCCCCTGCCATCATTGTATTGAGCAGCAGGCACAACACGACCCTCCCTGCTTCCCACCCTTTCCTGAGTTTGCCATTTTCCTGACCACAAGGTGCATTGTCACAATGCTGTCCGTGTCAGGATCTCCCATCTCCTTCCTGTAGTCGAACAGTGCCCGGGTATCGTCCAGAAACTTGCCCCTGAGAATTAACCTGATCTCTCCAGCGCTTGTGGGAGGATCCAATGCAAAGTCTCCATCTTTGGGCCACTGGGAAAAGACGTGATCCTTCACCTGGGGCAGGAAGAACAAGACGTTTCTGTGCCATGCAAGAAATCTCGAATGGCAAAATTCAAGGATGCCAACATACTAGTCCAATGCAATTCGCATCATCCACAAATTAGTGCTTAATCACAGAATACCTAGCAGTCAGTGCACATTCTGTCTGCATCCAGATGCAGGCAAGACCTTGCAGGTACAAGGGCTGCAGTTTGTCATTTCCTGACAAAACATCAATAACCATACACGTTGCGGCCTCGTTAGCCACAGGGTATGCATGCATTTCAGCGCATGGTCCACTGCAAGTTCAATATCCAAGGCAATTTGTAGCTCTTATAAGAGGTTGCACTGGATCCCAGCCCAGCAATTCCATTGTACAAGATAGCCATTCCAGTGGTTAACAGATGGAATAAGATAGGTGTAGTGGACAGGTCGTTTGCTGAGTGCTGTAGGCGATTCCCAGGTGTCCTACATCGCAGTCAACTCTCTGTCTGTCAGACTTGAGCACCCATCAGTCCATGCTGTCTTGCTGCTCATGCTACCCTGCATTGCGTGCTATTCCTGTTGCAATTGGGGACATAGATTGGCAACGTGTGCATCAAATTGTAGAGGTCTGAAAGAGACTCAAAAACTGTTTTGCTCAAGATTGGATGGCCACTTGGGTGACCTTTCCATTGGAAGCACCATATTCGGTGAAACAATATCATTTTGTGGGCACTAAACGTCCAGCAAGCCTGTGGTACACTGCAGGGCGCCTGAGATGCAAAGGGCAGCCTTGGCACCTGTGTCAGGCCTAAAAGTGTATATGTGGCACCCAATCTGGCAGCAACTTAAATTCTGGTTTCTTCTGATGGTCAGGCAAACAATATATAGGCAGTTTGAAGTTATACAGAGCAAATGCACACATCGCCCTTCATCGCCTCAAGGTGCCTGGGTCATGTTTGTAGCAAGACAAAGGAAGCGATTGCAAAACACAGAAAACAGTGTCCTATCAGCAAAGGGCAACGTTTGGAAGATGCAAGAATTAGTGAGCATTTTGCTTTAGTGCACAGGGACATGGTGAAAGGGTCCTAATATGCTATGTGCGAACACATGCTTTGGGGTTTGCTTTGTGGCAACATCTGCTCCTTTTCATTCCCTGCATACTGGCATACCATAGGAGTGAACACAATCAACGGGGGGGAGGGGGCCGCGCGGGGGCTGGGCATGGCAAAACTTCGAAGCTAAAGTCACATTCCCACAATGGCTGTGTTCAGCACAGGCATTGTCTGTCAGTATCAATTACGCTGATAGCACATCTTGCAGTGACCATTGCCTTGCAACCATCTGTTGATGCAATTCTTTCTGCACCTGCGATGTTGTTATGTTGATTTTTTTAAAGAGTCAAGGGAGGTGCATCGATCTTACAGAAGATGAGGAGGGGCCACAGGACAGCCCACGTATGTCCGCAAAAGGCTGGGCGCACGAGCATTGTGAGCCCTAGGCATTGGGCTGAAGCCCTATGGGAGCGTAACACTCAGGGCAAAAATTGCAAGCACTCGTGACATGGGAATTGACTCACTGCATAACACTCATCAACTGACGGAAGGGGCCAATCACCCCGAGGTCAAACGTTACCTGCGTGATTGTGGTGTCTTTGGAGAAAACGAACGGCCCCAGGTCGCCGGCCGAGTGTCGAAACCTAACCCTGAATTCCTTTGCCATGCTCACACCGGCTCTCTCTTGTGAGTTTTAGGGCGCTGCGCCCGTTTGCATTGTCGCGTGCGCCAGGTCGCCCACCCCTCCCACACCTCGCGGCCCCAGCCACAGACCGGGAACCACTTTCGTCGCTGAAACCCTCTCAAAGTTTCGTCCAGAGACAGGGGCAGGCCAGCCTCCCAACGAATTCCCGCGGTGCCCAGTGTGACCTGTTCAGAGGCGCAAAAGCAGACAACGCCGCCTTGGCGGTCCCCCCCGTGCTGGCTGCGAGACATTGGAAAGTACCCACAGGAGGGGCGCACGAAGTGGGAGGGAAAGATGACTCCGAGAGACAGCCCGGTGTGCGCGCGGCTAGCACCCCTCGCCAATCCGGCGTTCTCGCAGCTCTAACCACGGGGTGAGGCGAAGCACTGTGTGCCGGGGCCCCAGCCGGAGAGCCAAGCTGATCGACACCCGCAAAGCGTCCTCCATTCATACAAAAGTTCAGGCCCGCGAGTAGACGCGAGGCCTCGCCGACGGCATCCATCTACAGCGCGAAGGGGCGCGACTGGAACGAGGCCACCCGCGGACCTCCGCAGGCGCCGGCGGGGCGGGCACACGCACATATGCACACCCCCCGCCAGACCGCAACGCCCGACGACCATCCGCCCTCCAAATCGCCCTAAAAAGAAAGCGTCGGGCATCCCCAATGCCGCCACGCCGCGGTCCGCCCGTCGCCCCGACCCCATTCGGCCCCATCGCAGGCCTCCCCGCCCCCGGCCGACCCATGCCGACCCACAATCGGACAATGCCGACCCAGACCAGGGCCCAGCGCGCAACGAACCCACATCACGATGCCGCGGCACCCAATCCAATCCCTCCCCCTCCCGGGCAGCAGTTCCCTTCCTGTTTTTCTCCGCGATCAGAGCCGCACCGTCCCAGCGCCGACCCCAGGGCCCACGTGCGAGGCCTGTGGGTAGTGTCCGGGACCTAAAGACCACAAATCCCGGCGTCCCGATCCTTCGACGCGGCGCACGCGACAGAGTGGTGGGCGTCGGGCCGGCATCGTGCGGGGAGGGCCGCCCTCGCGGCGGCGGCGCGCACCTATTCGTGGGTTTGGACGGTGTTGGCGTCAGGCCGGCAGCGCGCGGCATGGAGCGTGCGCCTCCCTCCGACTGTCGGAGCGGCTGCGGGCTGTCGGCAAGACAGACGGAAATTGGCAGTGAAGGGGACGGGGGCATGCGCTGAGTTGGCAGCCCCCACACCCGGTGTGCATAAAATTTCGGGGCCCTGTCCCCACCAACAACGTTAGGGTCGACAGGGGTTGGCGTAGTATTGTAACGCATGGCCATTTTTAGCGGAACAAACAATAAAACAAATAACGCTCTTTTGATAAAATTTTGGCGGAGCAACGTAAAAATAATGGAAACAACGCTCTGAAAAATAAAATGCGGAGCAAAACACATAGCAGTGAAATGTGCTGATGCGGAAGGGTTTAAAACCCAACGGTGCTTTTGTAAAAATGAACAAATGTGAGAAGCGCAACGCCGACCATTGGGACCCACACAGGCACAAGGGACTGGCTCACTCATCGGAGCACCATGCATGCAACGTGCAGGGTGCCAGCCTTGTGAGAGTCAACGCGGCCGTTCGAATATGTTGGACGCGAAAAAATGAACGATCTAGGAATTATGCACTCGCGGACGACTCTCACACAGGTGCAAGGGCCCACTTTATCGTCCGAAGCCAAGTTTAAGCCAAGGAGCTTGGCAATCCCACAAAACCATTGGACGTAAGAAAATGAACGAAAAAGCAAATAGGCTTGGTTTTTACTTCCTCCGTCCCAAATTAATTGTCGTATATGAATTTGGGGCGTTACTTATCCACGTTGCCCATGCCAATTTTTAATAAAATTTTGTCGTAAGTTGTGCTTGTGTTTTGGGAATATGCTATCAGAATTTCAAGCTAATCTATTAAGTATTGAGGATTTGGCAGTACTTTGTACCAAGGGGTCTCTAGCCAGAAAACGGCCGGTTTGGGGCCGCGCGGCGCAAATGACCAGTTTTTTGCGATGGTGAGGGGGACGCCTTCACGATGGCGAAGCAAGACCGCCTATAAAGAACTGGCCACGCCGCTCAGATTGAAGGTGGGGGCGGTCCTTATGAAGAGGCAGGGCGACAGAAAACGGGCTCCCAAGGGCCAGATCGACGAACTGGCTGTGGCGTATGCCTGCGATGCGAGAACGATCCAACTGATCAAAAGAGCATTTTGGGCCTAGATTTCTGGGCCAGGCGCTTTGAATCTCCATCGCCGCCGTCGAGCCAACTGCGGGGGTCCCCCCAAAGACTTACAGAGAGGTGTGAGAGAAGGTGCTAAGCATCAGCCCGGCTAGGCGCTGGACAATCCGGTCAATGGCCTTGAGGACGGGAATGGCAAAATCAACAATTTTTGGGAATTTGAAAGGCTTGGGGGCAAGAACAATCGTTCAATGGATAAAGCTTTGTCTCTCTCAATAGCAAAGAGTTGCAAGATTGCGGTGGATTGTAGAGCGCATGCGCAAAGTTGGGCGCAAGTGGCAATTTGTGGATTTCGCGAACACGATCCACATTGACGAGAAGTGGATTTATGTGGTGAAAGATGCCCACAAAGTTTAGGTGCTGCCAGAGGATAGGTGTGTGGGTGCTCCGAAAGCAGAAAACAAGACTTTTATAAAGAAAGTCATGTTTTTAGCTGCTGTGGAGCAGCCCCATAGGTGGCCAAACGAGTCCCACTTCAGTGGCCTTGTTGGAATATGGCCCTTTGTATAGGAGGGCGTTGTGGTTCGATCTAGCAAGAATTGGGTTGCAGGTGAGGTGGAATTGAAGCTAGATTTCAGTTGATGGGGATGCGTGGAGGGATCTTATGGTGGGAAAAGTCTTTCCCACTATCAGAAGTGCTTACAAGCACTTGAAAGCGCAAGTTGTTATCCAAGTGGGTGTGGCCAAGCCACACACCAAATCACCGATCCAAGCATCAATTGAGGCCGAATGCTCTAAGCAAGGTTATAACATTATTTTAAAGCGGCAGCCAACCCAGAGTCTGGACTTCAATGTCATGAACCTTGTGTTTTTTTTCACTCATTGCAGGTCCGTGCATCGGAGATCAAGGATGGCGGGGATCTCCAAGACATCGTCGATTCTGTGACAATGGTATTCTATGATCAAGATCCAAATATGCTTGAGCATGTCTGGCAAGCCCTCTTCCACGTGATGGACACGGTGCTTCGTTGCAATGGCAGCAACGACTACGCCGTACCGCACGCATAGACAGGAGTGGCCCATATGCGCGGAGATCTTCCATGGACGTGGAGTGTGAATGCACATTTTTTGGACTGGGCAAGGGCTTTTTCGGGGGGCCCTCAAAGGGGGTAGGGCTAAACATTTTTTCTTGAAGATTGGCAGTTAAGAGTTCTGGGACCTAGTTTTTCCGATTCTAACCTTGTTTGTTAATTTTGAGACTATCTTTGTAACGAATTTTGTTTTTTTATTAGACGACAATTTATTTGGGATGGAAGAAGTACGTTTATGTTTTTAAGCGTAAAACATAAATTTGCAAAAGTCTTTAAAAATTTTTACAATAGTTTTTACGTTTTTGCGTCTAGTTGGGACACTCAGGTTACAAAGTGAATTCACGTACAGTGATTAGTCTTCTGCCTTCTTCAGCACCCGCAATACGGTTGCATCACCTACAACACCGTTCCAAGGTATGTTATAACCATAAAATGCTATGGCCCATGCCTAGCCAACAAATGTTAAGGAAATCTAAGGGGGTAATTATTTCCCGCTTAATTTCCATCATTACAGGAAGTGAAAGACCATTATTGAGGTCACCAGCGATTCTGGGATGCTTGAGCACTTGGGCCCCAAGGTTTCTAAGGGAAAGTCCCTAGTGCTAGACTTACCCCTTTAATTGAAAGCCTTTGCCCCCTTATAATACTGCGGGGGACCTTTTATTATGTTATTGGATTTAAAGGGGACGGTCCCCCTTGGCTCCGGTACGTGGGGGAGGACCTGGGGCTGAGTCATGCCCCGTTTTGATTATGTGGCCTCCGGGAAGTTTCTGGATGCTTGACGGGGTATAAAAAGGGCAACTGTACGCCCTTTGTAACATTCGTTTCTTTTCTGACTGATCTTCAGTCGTGCCCACGAGAGGCGTGCCCCGCGGTACGCCAACCTTGTTGCATCCGCCCGCTGTACAGCCGCATCCGCCCGACGCGACCCGCGTCCCTGGGCCCACCGACGCGGAGTGAGCCAGCGAGCACCCCGACAGAGCGCCACCCGACCCGCACATTCCGGGCCGGGCGAGAGGGGGATTGATGCGCTGTGCGTCTCCCCACCGGGTGCCGCGAGAGCCGAGCACCGGCGGCATCGAGGCCGCGCGGAATCGGCGCATTCAGCGCCATAGCAATTTGGTTTCGGAGCCATTCGACGGGCCGGACGTGTGGAAACAGCGGCGACAAGGAAAGGAGTCGAAGGGACACCGATTGGAGCCCTCCGGACCGCGGGCGAGCGGCGATTGGAGCTCGCCATCCCCGCCCATTACGATCCCCGAGGCCGGAATCGAGCCGTCCGGCCTCAGCGAGGCGAGTCCGCCCGCGCAGCAGTTGCCAGGGAGAGCGCGACCCGTGCCGCGCAGTGCGCCCCGGAGCGGAGTTCCGTTGACCGAGCGCGAGCCGGCCAGAGCGGCCGCAGCGCCTCCCCCCCCCCCGAGTCGGACATTGGGAGTGACGTGACAGCCGATTGGCGGCGGTACGGGTCGGGTGCCGTGCCGCGCAGTGCGTCACGTGATTGACAGTTGCGTTCAGAGTGACGTGTGGTTGCGAGTGACGTGTGGCTTGCCGTGCGGAGTGCTGAGTGGATCGTGAGTGATCGGAGGCGTCCCCGTGAGGCGCCAGTGCGTGTCAGAGTACTGGGACCGTGGCTACAGGTGACGGTGCTACACCAAAGTACTGGGAGCACCGGGTGCCGCACCAAACTACTGGGAGCACC